AGGGGCAAAATGCCTCCTAAAAAACATTAAGTACCAAATAAGAATAATAATATCAGAGTACTAATAACTAAGTCCAACAAAAAGACTCATTTAAAAAAATTGTGCATGTGGCCTTTGGCACAGAACTGGGTATGCTCAGACACATAAAACCCTGCAAAGTTTCAGAGAGAATTTTATAAGCAAAGCACTTTCAATCTAGACCCCAAAACAACAAATGCTTGGCCTGGGCCCCAAAATTTCAACTGTCAGGAATTAGGGGATGATGGGAGCCACCAGACAAACACACACACACACACACACACCCTGATGCATTCTTTAGAAGTAGCCATGTAAGATGACAGAAAAGGAAATTTTCCATGATGTCAAGCCAAGAGCCTTAAAAATATGGATCTGGGAAATCATCCCAGGATTTAGAATTGAATGCCTAAGCAAATAATATCCACTACCCAAGAGTCTGGATACCTGGTAACACTTGCCTAGTGTTTCAAAATTAATATAGAGTAATGACTGTTACGAGTCTCTGACTGTTCCTTTGTAAAATGAGAGTGTGTATTGTGTGTGTATTCTTTCCCTGTATACCATTTTATATAGGGTATGTTTAATACAGATAATTTTTTTTAGTTCATAGGTCTATGGACCAAGAGAAATTGCATTCCACCCAATGAGACTCACAATATCTTCGATTTCTAACTTGATGCCATGATTAGATGAGACATATGGTAGTTACGGAATGGAGATGAGTGTGTTTTACATGCAGGAATGACATGAATAATTGAAACCAAGGAGGCAGACTGTGGTGTATTGAATGTTTTGATCCAATATTCAATTATTCCTGCATTCACACAATGGCCTCAAAGTGGTCATAGTGTACTTCCCTATCTGACCTCTGGCTTGACTATGACTTGCTCTGGCTAATGTCATATATCTGGAAGTGACAGTATGCTAGTTCCAATGCTAGAAATTAAGTGATCTTGCATGTTTCCACTTGCTTTACTTCATGCCACTGCCCATGAATAGAATATCATGGTGTACTGGTCTGTTTGGGCTTCTATAACAGAATACCATAGGCTAGGTGGCTTATAAATAACAGAAACTTGTATCTCACTGTTCTGCAGGGTGGGAAATTCAAGATCAAGCCACTAGCAGATTGAATGTCTGGTGAAAGTTCCCATCCTAATTCTTAGATAGCTATCTACTTGCTACACCTTCACATGGTGGAAGGGGTGAGGGGGCTTTCTGGGCCTCCTTTGTAAGGACACTAATCTCATTCATGAGGGATCCACACTCATGGCCTAATTACCTCCTAATACCATCACCTGGGGGTTAGGATTACAACATCTGAATTTTGGAGGGACAGAAACATTTAGACCATAGCACCTGGTAATACTGTTATCTAAGGAGAATGAGGAGAGTTGCCCCAAACAACCCATAGTTGATTTCCATGAGAAGTGTAGTGCCACACAAGTCAAGCCCAATCATTAAACAAGAATCCTGAGACTACATGATTTTCATTTTAAACAAACGAGAATAGAGGAGAATTGAGGAGAATTGTCATATAGCACTTTCATGACAGTCTTTCAAATAGAATGTCATAAAGATTCAGGTCCTTCTTATTTATTTTCCAAAATGAATGTGATCCTAAAATAATACAAACTTTAAGAAAATGGAATTAGACAATCCATGCTAATATTCATCTGGGAAAAAATGAGCAAGCAACTACCTTAGGGAGTTCTTCAAAAGAAGAGCAAAATATTTAGATGGACTAGCCCAAATATATCCAATTAAACTAGTAATTAAAAGTGTGCAAGGTACCACACAAATAGGCAGACAGATCCATAGAACACAATAAAAAAGAGGCTAATGAAAATATACATAAAAATTAAGGATATAATTAAGACAATATCTCAAATCATTAAAATAGTTTTTTTTTAAAAGCAAGAAATCATCTGAAACAGTAGTTCATATGACCTCTCTGAACATACCACATGCAACCCATAAACTGCAGTCTGTTTAGCATTGTACTTCTCTTTGTTCTCCCTTCTTTCTTTCCCCACTCCCTTTTGTCCTTCACTTCCATTGATACTTCCCTGGAGCTATAAGCTTTCCCTTAATAAAGTATTAGCACATTATATTTTTGCCTCAGTTCTATTCTCTAGGCAATCTAAGTTAAGCTAGGGGTCAATGACCAGATGGTCACGGCAGCCACACTGGGGCCAGTTTCTTACTGGCTACAACGAGAGCCTTTCCAAAACCAAGCTTTGCCCACCAAGCCAAGAAGATCAAGAACAAGCTCTGAGTGCACGAGGACCCCAAGGACACACTGCTGTAAGAATTCCAGGAAATCACCCACCTGAAATCTCATCTGGAGAAGAAGATTCTGGAAAAGTGGCTCTGGAGGAAGAGCAGCAGCATAAAGAGCTATAGCATAAAAAGCAGCAGCATAAAAAGCAGCATGTCAGCCCTGGTGGGATACCATGAAGGACCAGTAATCAAGGTCTGGGAGGCCAAAGAGGAGGATAACAATAACAACAACTACCACCTACCCAGCCTCCTGGAACTAGCCTTGGATAAAAACATGGATAATTACCTGCAGGTGCAGAAGTAGTAGAGGATGACTGCAGCCTGGTGAGTGAGGAGAAGCAGAAGCTGCTGGAGATGAAGGAGAAGATGCTGGAAGACCTATGGCAGGAACAGCAGGCCACAGAGCTGCTTGCAGCCAAGTACAGGCCATGGAGAGCAAGCTTCTCCATTGGGGCAAGAACATCATGGATCACACCAAAGAGCAGCAGAAGATATTGAAACTGAAGAGTGAGGAGACTGCCAAGCAGAAATGCCAGGAGCAGGAAATACAGCAGGAGGTGATGATCTGAGATGAAGAGACCATGTAGTTCTGGGGCAGAAGTCAAACCCAAGAAACTCGAGAAGCTCCATGCCAAGCAGCAGGCAGTGAAGGCAGAGATCCAGGACCAGTATGATGAGTACATCTGCATGTAGCAGGACCTGCAGAAGGCACAGAATGAGGAGACCTGGGAACTCAAGTTCAAGTACCTAATCATCAAGAACTTCACCTCCCCTGAGAAGGACAAGATCATAAGCCAGGTTTTTCTGGACTGTGAGGAGGAGCAGTAGAAGGTCCAGCCACTTGTGCCAGCTGGGTTTAATAACAGCCAAAAGAAGCAGCAGCCCATGTCTTCAGTGTACTACAAGAGGCCTATCAGCTGGCACACTCAGTTACCATGGCAATGGGGTCCCACCCCAGCCACAGGGCTGAAAGTATAACGTTTTGGAGTTGGATATACCCCCTTCAGATGCATTTGTGATGGAATCCTCTCATGACTAAGAACAAGAACCCATGCACTATATATGGATAGGCTCATGCAGCTAAAAGAGCTTTCTGGAAATAACATCCAGGTCTAAAGTCTGAAAGTCCAGGTCCTGGTGCCAGAGTCCTCAGTGGCCTCCACCCTTCACCACACATACCTCACTGGCCTCTGCTACTCTGCACCCTGTGACAGTGCTAGACCAAAATGACAATCTGCAGTCAGGCTGCCCATCCGACAGACTCCTGGGGTGGGGCAGCCAACCCTAGATCATCTCATCATCTGCTTGGTGTATATGTGCATGTAAGTGTGCATATGGGTGAGAGGGTGAAAATCTGGCAGACCATGCCTCTACCTGTTCTTCTTAGCCCCCTTTATTTCATTAATGTTTTATTTGTGGAGCTTAGTGTGGGAAGAGATGTCCTTGCCTGAGCTTTCTGGGCCTTCCATGGTCACTGCATAGCCTCCTTTTCTTCTGACATTAGACGCCCCCAGTGAGACCTTAGGCTTCTCCCCACCATCTGCCCCCAGAAGGAAAGGTGGCTAGTGCCTATGAAGAAAGTAGTTTGAAAAACTGGTTTACTCCATAATCTCCATCTCCTTCAGATTGACAGTAAGAATCTCCTAAGCACTTTCTGGGACCTTCAGATTGACAGTGAGCATCTCCTAATCACTTTCTGAGACTAGAGAAAAATCTAGGTGTCTACAACAGACATCTTGACAGGGTTGGGCCTGTGCTCCCAACAGACAGAACTTCACTCTCAACTTTCCTGGCTTCAGACAACCTCTTTCAGCTTCTTAGGTGCCTTTTCAAGGATTTAAATGACCTTACCACACAGCCCATGCTTGGCAAGAACTCATAGCTTTCCAAATTCTGCTTTCTGCTCACCTTTCCAACCCATGGGTGGGAATTGTGCACCATCCAGTTGCTGCCTCCTTGGGACCCAGAAATGGAATAGTAATGGAGACAATGTGGACAATCATAAAGGGAAGTCCCTCCTCCAGGTCCCTTTGTTTCTATCCTCTCCAGGAAGTAACTTTGGTCAACAAATGATCAAGCCAACTCCCCATGTTAGAGATGTTGCTCCTTTCTGCTTTGATCATTTTCCCTGAAGCTTCCTGGATCCCACTTCACAGTGGGATGGATCAACATCATTTTCCCCCTGGCTAAACACAGGTATTGAAACCTGTTGCTTTCCCCCCCTCATTTAGTACAGGAGACTGAGACCCAGGCACAGTCTACAACTTTGCTTATCACCCGTTTCTGAATCACATTTGTTGGGCATCATTTTGTTAAAAACTGACCTTTCTTCAGCATTGTGCAAACTGATCCCTAGGTAAGTACTCCTCACCTTCTTTTGTGACATCCCAAGATGTCTCCACGTATCTCAGGTGATAAGCAAATTTCTACCAAAAAGGGAGGGGGGGGTAACCCAGAACACAGCTAGAGGGGCACAAGCACGGCTGTGCTCATGGCTTAGGGACACAAGTTCCAACTTGATGTTGATGTGGGGGTGGGTGGTGACCATGAGGGCAACATCCATGTGGAACAATAGTGTAAGGTCCCTATCTGCCTTCTACAGGGACTCAGAGTAGCAGGTGTCCCTGTGCTGACACTGAACCTCAAGTAGGCTGAGGGTCAGGTGGGTGGCCTGGACTTAACACATTGGCCATGGGCTCCTACAATCGTCTACCCAACCCGAGTTTGCATCTCTGTTTCCAGTGCTCCAAGGGGTCCCAGAGAGACGGTCCAGGAGAGGAAGACAGGCAGGGTGCCATGGAGGGCAGAAGGAGTGCTCCTTTTGCCCACCATGGTTTAAGGCATTCCTCTGAGGCGGCCTGTCCTTCAGAACAGTCTGCATTCTGAGCTAGGCGGGGCTCTAGAGTGGTGGCTAGAGGCTGGGCAGGTGGGCAAAAAGAGGGAGACGCAGGGTCCCCCAGCTTAGGTATCTGCCCTGACAGCACAAATATCTGCTTCGAACTGACCATCCACTGACCCTTGGGGCAGACATTCAACTCCACCTGCAGTGGCCTGGGGCCGTGTCCCCAGTGGTTCTCGGAAACTCCGGAGTGCCATTCTATGTTCCCAGTAAGGCAGCAGGAGGGGGCGGGGCGCGGGCGGAGAGCCTCCTTACCGACCCCTGGAACACATCCATCCCTGAGAAAGCGGGGGTCAACACCGCCGACTCTCACCTTCGTGGGTATGTGTACTGTGCTCTCTGCGCATGGTGGTTTTTTTTGCGGTTGTCGCTGTTGTTTTACAAGTTTACTTTGACCCCTGAAGTGAAGAAACTTGTTTTCATTGTTGTTGACTTCACGAAGTTCTTCTTCTTTCTCATTACGGAAGGAAAAGACACGGAAACCCGAGAGGAAGGGAGAGCCCCTCCCCACGGCGGTAACAAGGCGGGGAGGGTCCTAAGGCCGCGGACCCACGGGATGAGGGGCGGAGAGCGCGGAGCTCGCAGAAGAGGCTGACGGGGGCTGTGCTGCCACAGAAAATCGGCCCCAACGGCCTGGCAGCCCAAGCGGGCGGCGCTCTGGGCGAGCTGGGGGCGCTGACGGTGGTGCTGCTGAGGTCGGAGCGGCTGTAGTCGCGAAGGGAGAGAGAGGGTGCGGGTCCCGCTGGGGCTGAAAGCCGTGCGGCTGCGCGCGAGCTTCCTCTGGAGGTCCTCGGCTGCGCCCGACGAGCTTCCCACAGGTGGGCCTCGCAACTTCTCGCGCTTGCGCAGTGAGGCAGTGCTGCGCCAGCTCGCCGGAGGCGCGGACTTCGAACTTCAGCAAGCCGTGCTGCCAGCCGCCAGCGAAGGGCCGTGTGCCTGTGTGAGTTCTCAGCCCCAAAACTTTCTCGCAGCCTGCGTAGTGGCACTGTGCTTTCTCTTCGGGCTCCGGCCCCTTCCGTCCCCTTGTAGGAGGCTGGGCTCGCTGCTGCCTGGCGTCTTGCTCAGGCTTCGGCTTCAGCTGGGCTGGCGTTCGGGCTTGTTGCTCGCGGGGCGGGGGAGGGGTGGCGCCTCTGCGCCTGCGCCGCCGCCTTGGGGCGGGTTGCGGGTTGTTGGGGGGGCGCGGAGGGAGGGCAGGGGTCCCACTACTGGACCCCACGCTGCGCTCTGCCGGGGCGCGCACCTGCGCTCGCCGGTTGAACTACGCCGGGACCTCTGCAACTGGAAAGTGGAAAGCCCTGTCCTTGCCTTCCTGGCCTCCCTGGAAGCGGGACAGCATGGCGGGTCAGCAGCTGGCTGGGCCCTTCTGACCTTGTGCAGCCGAGTGGCTGGGCAAGGACAGGAAAGAACCAGAACAAACTTCTAGTTATAAAATAAATAACTAATGGGGATGTAACAGTACAGCATGGTGACTTCAGTTAATATTGTATTGTATATTTAAAGTTGCTAAGAGAGTGGATCTTAGAAGTTCTCGTTACAAGGGAAAACCCCAGCTGTTTTGAATTCTTTATCTGGGATGTTTTTGGGATCGGTTACTAGCAGATTATTGCGATCACTTGTTGGTGTCATGTTTCCATGATTTTTTATGTTTCATGTGCTTCTTGCAGTTGCTGTCCTTCCATTAGAAGTAACAGTCACTTCTGGTCTTTACTGACCGATTTTAGGAAAGAAATACCTTCCCACTGCCTGCTAGGGATTCTTAGGCTTTCTCAGTCCTTCTGTGGATACACCTGCCTCACACTTCTTGTTTCCCTTTGTGGCAGAATTCTTAAGCTTATGTGCCTTCTCTCCATCCTGCAACACACTAGGCAGGTTGCTAGCCTCCCTTTTGCTTTCCCAGTGGTGACACTAGAGCTCAAATTAGTGGTTGCTTCCTGGCCTGCAGATTGAGGCTCATTTTCTGCAGTGCTCACTAGCCATCTGCCAAAGCTTGTTTGCCTCCATCAGGAGTGTGCACAAGGAGCTGGCCACACAGTTTGGGGGGTGTGTGGTGAGTTGCACAGAGCACTAGGGGTGCCCATGAGCCAGTTGGGAAGATCCACGGTGAGGCTTCCCCAGTGGCTATTGGGCAGGCTTCTTGACGGAGTCCAAGATGCAGTAAACAGGATCTGGATCCACGTCCCTCTAAGGCCCTCTGAGACTCCTCTCTGCCACTCTCACAGCATCTTCCCTGACCCAAGTAGTGCTGCTCGTGACTCAGTTCTCTGGATGGGGTGAAGAAGAAATGGGCCTCTAGGGCAGCATCTCACTTGGCTGGGGAATCTGAGTACTCATTCATATGCTTTCACTTTCTCCATGTGAGAAATCATGGGCCAAGATGGTCTCTTTTGGCACTAATCTGTGCTGCCTTGAGGGAGGGGTTATGCAGGTAAAGTCAGACTGTCCCTTTTACCCTCTCTAGTGCATCCAAACTCATTTTTTTTTTTCCTCCAACAGTATGCTGGAAGTACGCCACAGGGTTCCTGGACTTCTACAAAGGTACTCTCATCCTTGCGTCTAACTCTGTGTTCTCCAGGGGCTCCCAGACCACGCTGAAGGATGAGAGCCAGTTTACAGGGCACTGCAGGGTCCACAGCCAGGAACAAGGTATGTATGAATATGACCTGAAGCATGGTGGTCAGCAATTTATGATGGTTGATGTGGTCTGGGTCCCAACGACACTGAAGTTCTAAACAAAAAACTGAGCACATTCTGGATATCCTGATTTGATTTGTGATTGATTGAACTTTGAATCATAGGAGTGTGATAACACTCATAGCCCCTGAAATTAATATTTCATGGATCATTAAAATCAAAACAAAACAAATGAAGTTCAAACAATGTTATTTTTTTGCAATAGTTCTATTAGTAATTTCTTATAAATATAACTAGATTATTTAAAATTAAAAAATATACTTAATATTGCTTTTGTGTTTTATACATGTATAACCATCATTGGTGCCATACAGACTTGAGTAAAATTAGTAAATATTTTTATAGGCTCCCACTGTCATTGATTCAATAGATCCATGAACATTCAGACAGTGTTTATTACTTTTAATGAATTTTGCTGTTAGAATATCATGTTAGGTGTAATTCATTGAACTGAAGATGATACTCTTTTTTTGACTTTCAAAAAGAAATAGATTTTATTTTTTATTATTTTTAAAAATTATATTGGATTATAGTTGATTTACAATGTTCTGTTTCAGGTGTACATCAAAGTGATTCAGTTATACATATACATATATTCATTCTTTTTCAGATTCTTTTCTCATATAGGTTGTCACAGAATATTGAGTAGAGGTCCCTGTGCTATACAGTAGGTCCTTGTTGGTTATCTATATATAGTAGTGTGTGTACGTTAATCCCAAGCTCCTGATTTATTCCTCCCCCCACCAACATTTCCCCTTTGGTAACCATAAGTTTGTTTTCAATATCTGTTTCTGTTTTGTAAATAAGTTCATTTGTACCATTTTTAAAAATTAGATTTCACATATAAGTGATATCATATGATATTTGTCTTTCTCTGTCTGACTCACTTCACTTAGTATGATAATCTCTAGGTACAGTCATGTAGCTGCAAATGGCATTAGTTCTTTTTTATGGCTGAGGAATATTCCATTGTATATATGTACCACATCTTTTATCCATTCCTCTGTCGATGGGCATTTAGGTTGCTTCCTTTTCTTGGCTATTGTAAATAGTGCTGCAATGAACATTGGGGCGAATATATCTTTTCAAATTATGGTTTTCTCTGGATATATGCCCAGGAGTGGGATTGCTGAATCATATGGTAGCTCTATTTTTAGTTTTTTAAGGAACCTCCATACCGTTCTCCATAGTGGTTGTACCAATTTACATTCCCACCAACAGTGTAGGAGGGTTCCCTTTTCTCCACACCCTCTCCAGCATGTATTGTTTGTAGACTTTTTGATGATGGCCATTCTGACCTGTGTGAGATGATACCTCATTGTAGCTTTAATTTGTATTTCTCTGATAATTAATGATATTGAGCATCTTTTCATGTGCTTTTTGGCCATCTGTATATCTTCTTTGGAGAAATGTCTATTTAGATCTTCTGCCCAGTTTTCGATTGGGTTATTTGTTTTTTGATATTGAGCTGCATGAGCTGTTTGTATATTTTGGAGATTAATCCCTTGTCAGTCGCTTCATTTGCAAATATTTTCTCCCATTCTGTGGGTTGTCTTTTTGTTTTATTTATAGTTCCCTTTGCTGTGCAAAAGCTTTTAAGTTTAGTTAGGTCCCATTTGTTTGTTTTTATTTTCATTACTTGAGGAGGTGGATCAAAAAATATCTTGCTGTGATTTATGTCAAAGAGTGTCCTGCCTATGTTTTCCTCAGAGAGTTTTATAGTGTCCAGCCTTACATTTAGGTCTTTAATCCATTTTGAGTTTATTTTTGTGTATGGTGTTAGAGAATGTTCTAATTTCATTCTTTTACATGTAGCTGTCCAGTTTTCCCAACACCACTTATTGAATAATTTGTCTTCTCCATTGTATATTCTTGCCTCCTTTTTCATAGATCAATTGAACATAGGTACATGTGTTTATTTCTGGGCTTTCTATCCTGTTCCACTGATCGATATTTCTGTTTTTGTGCCAGTACCATACTGTTTTTATTACTGTAGCTTTGTAGTATAGTCTGAAGTCAGGGATCCTGATACCTGCAGCTCCATTTTTCTTTATGAGGTTTGTTTTGGCTATTTGTGTTTCCGTAAAAATTAAAAAATTTTTTGTTCTAGTTCTATGAAAAATGCCATTGGCAATTTGATTGGGATTGCGTTGAATCTGTAGATTGCCTTGGGTAGTATAGTCATTTTCACAACATAGAGTTAGTGTGCTAGGTCCCACTGTATGTGTAACCTTGTGTGTGCCCTTCAAGAGTGGAATTTCTGTTTCCCCTAGTCCTGTGGAGCTCCTGCACTCAAGCCCCACTGGCCTTCAAAGCCAAATGCTCTGGTGGTTACTCCTCCTGATGCCAGATCCTCAGGCTGGGGAACCTGACATGGAGCTCAGGACTCTCACTCTTGTGGGAGAACCTCTGTGATATAACTATATTCCAGTCTGTGGGTTGCCCACATGGTGGGGATGGAACTTGATTATGTTGTGAAAGTGCCCCTCCTACAGTCTTGTGGCTTCTTCTTTGTCTTTTAAATGTAAAATATCTTTTCTGGTAGGTTCCAGTCTTTTTTGTTGATAGTTGTTCAGCAGTTAGTTGTGATTTTGGTGTTTTTGTGAGGGGAGGTGAACTCAAATCCTTCTACTTCACCATCTTTTCTGGAATTGAGGGGCTGCTTTTAGTTTGGATGCTTGCTGCTTCCTCAGCGTGTGCTGTTATTCCCTTGATATGGGGGTGTGCAGGTGCAATGGCCCTTGTGTGCTTCCAGTATGGTGGGGCAGGGCTTGGATCCTGCTCACTGGTCTCATGTGGGCAGCTGCTTGCTGTGCACACACTCAGGGACAGCAGGGGCAGCACTTGGCGCCTGCCCACCGGTCTTGTAGCAGCGGCCAATGTCCACCTCTGGAGCCCATGATGGCAGCGGTGGCAACTCTGAAGATGATATTCTTATTTTACTCTCTTGGGAAATAGAAAAAATAGATAATGTTGATACCATAATATACATTTCCCAAAATGCTTCTTCTAACTAAACAATTAGTGAACTATTCAGGTGTATTCACTGCATGCATCATTACAGAGTTGGCATATAATGTTTAACTTGTGAGTGAGAGCAAGATATGTCGCCTGGAATGCAGTGATATGCACTTTGGCCTTCAAAGCAGTCTTCACAGAAGACTCAAAAAAATCCTAAGGCCCCTGCAGTAATCTTGTATGGAATGCAAATAATACTTTTTAAAGGTTGTTCTGCTTCAGGACAAAGTATTTTTGACCTAATGCTAAAACAGGACTTCAATACAAAGATGCAAGTGAAGGTTCTTAAATAAACACACAGCAATAAATTTCATGGATTTTGCATGTGTTTTAAATATTTGTATATACCATTAGGGTGTGACCTTAAATTGTTAAAATGTATTAGTTCATCTCATTTCTACATTTCAGCACATAATATATACTCAGTATATGATTTTAATTACTTTGCTTATAGTTAATATCCTCTGATTATTATTTTTTCTATTGTAAATTATAAGTTGTCCTGAGTTATACCATATATACATATATTTAATGAAATTATAGATAGTTTTATATCAGAATGTTATTACATTCTGATGCCAAGTAAATTTGTTTTTCTATTAATACACATATCAGCTAGGATATATTAATACACATATCAGGATATTTGCAGTGGTGACAGCACTAAATCTCAAAGTAACTTAAACAAAGTCAATTAATTTCTGTCCATATTATGGCAGAAATTGCTAATAAAACTTTTAGACTTATAGTGCTCTTTTAGCTGACAATTAAAAAATAATGAGAGCTAATCTCCTCCCTCAGTATGCATCTTAATTGCCCCAAATAACTGCTTTTGCTTAATTTATATGTCTACCTCTGAGCTAATCATTATGAATACTCTGATTGGCCAGTCTGGGTTTTAGGTTCATCTCTGTAGGCATGAGAGGTAAGTTTTTCTGAAAGAAAAAAAAAGAAGCTTTCATTATAAGGAAAAAGGATATTGAATTTTCAGAGTTCATAATATTAAGTTTCCACAGTCTAACTCTCTAGCCTTACAGACTTCAGCCTACCCCTTCAGGGATTTGGCCTCAAACTTCACATATAACCTCTGACAGTCATGGGAGCTTTGATCTCTCTCAATCTACTTCTGCTGCTTCCTGTACTTGGTAATAGTAGATGTGAAGAAGTCTACCCTAGGTCCCAAGATTGAAAGTTTCTCAGTTTCTCCAGTACGGGAAGATCTGAACATTCCATTGCCTTGATGGAAACCCATGAGTCCTTCATTGCTCTTAGTATAAGTCAAATCCTTTTCTCTGGTTTATTTTCTTGTTCTTATATCTCTCCAGCTACATCTTTCAAAAACTCTTCATCCAAAACTCTATTCTTCAGTAATATTGAATGATTTTTTGTTCTTTAAAAGTACTATTTTTTTAACTTATTCATTATTTATTTATTTATTTATTTATAACATCTTTATTGGAATATAATTGCTTTACAATGGTGTGTTAGTTTCTGCTTTATAACAAAGTGAATCAGTTATACATATGCATATGTCCCCGTATCTCTTCCCTCTTGCGTCTCCCTCCCTCCCACCCTCCCTATCCCACCCCTCTAGGTGGTCACAAAGCACATAGCTGATCTCCCTGTGCTATGCGGCTGCTTCCCACTAGCTAGCTATTTTACGTTTGGTAGTGTATATATGTCCATGCCACTCTCTCACTTTGTCCCAGCTTACCCTTCCCCCTCCCAATATCCTCAAGTCCATTCTCTAGTAGGTCTGCATCTTTATTCTATGTGATTTCACATGACATCTGAATATGCTCTTCCCTCTGCTGGAATCCACCTGCCTCAGTGTCTTCACTAAGCTAACGTATAGTCATTTGTATTCTTTTATTATATATCATTTACTCTGGAAAGTGCATTCCTCCAAAATAAAGCTGGCAGCCAATTGGTCAGATTTTCCGGTTACACTCAAAATCTGATCCTTTGCCTTTTTTCTCCCAACATTGCATATAAAAGTTATAGAGTAAAACGAAAACACATATTAGGGCCAAGAGGT